AATATATTTTTAATGTTTTTGAGCGAAGTTGCTAAGGCTGAATTTATGTGATCAAAAATGTAGTAATTTTGTGAAATAGTATTGCAGTAACTTTTCTATTTGAATGCATTTTAAAGTGTAATGTATTCCTTTTATGGCAAAGCTGAGTACATTTTTAGCAGCATTTACTAGAGTTTTAGTGTAACACAGTCCTTAAGAAATCATTTTAATATGCTGATTTGGTGCTCAAGAATCATTTATTCGCAATCTTGAAAAAGTTTGTGCTGCTTAATATTTTTGTGAAAACCTTTTCAGGATTCTTTCATGAATAAAAAGTTCAAAAGAACATTTTTTTAAATAAAATTATTTTGATATGTTATAAATGTATATTATTGTCACCTTTGATCAATTTAATGCATCCTTTGCTGAATAAAAGTATTAATTTCTTTACAAAAAAATTCAGCTGACCCCAAACTTTTAAACAGTAGTGTTTTTCTTTCTTCATAAAAAGGTTAATTTTTGAAATTTTTTTCTGTTTAGTGAGAATTAAAAGTTGGGTGCAGTCAAGGTCCATACGAATCGTACATTATATTCCAAGTTTTCTGAAGCAATGCGATAGCTTTATGTAAAATAAAACATAAAAATAAGTGAACAAATCATTCAGATGGTTCTGTGAACAATCAGTTCATTGGAAATATTAGACTCAAAATGATTAGGAGATGGATAAGATATCCTTACTTCTAATATGAAATCTCATGAACATGTCAGTGAGAGCTATGCTGGATGTCAAGATTTTGACAACTTAAATTTCTGTCTGTTCATCACACAAAGCTATCGAATGGCTTTAGATGACTGATTTGAATGGTCTGCTTTTATTATAGTTTTATAATGCATTTGGGCAAAAGAGTGGCCAGGATATTGTTTAAAAATTAAAATCATGGAAGAATGAAAGTCATACAGAATGACATGAAGGTGATTAAATGATGACAGAATTTGCATTTTTAGGTGAACTATTCTTTATAGAAGCCACAGTATATGGTCTGCAGGACAGAAAGCTGGAAGCCGTCATGAAGAAGAATGGCGCTCATGTGACAGCATATTAGACCGGGAAGGTAAATTGATATGTAAATTGAGTGTGCGACTCCGAGAATGAGGAAATATGAAGCTGAAATGTGCTAGACCTTCACGTAGAGCGGGAACAGTTTTTTTTCTCCCGTCAGCAATGTACAATAGCAGACCCCGGTGTACCGAACATCTCAAATCTGTCTGCTCTGTGTGGCAGAATGTTCTGGAGAAAGAGAGCGAGAGTGCATTAGGCAGCACAAAGTGATTTGTCCTCATGGTGTTCAGGCTGTACTGAAAGAGCAGAGGCCTTGCTCAACAAAAGCAAGCAACGCTCGCTCATTTATTGGAGGAACACTGGAAGATTGGAGTCGTTCATCAGGATGATGCTCGCTGCTTTGTTCTTCAAGGAGAGACATTTTGTCAATATAAGATGCACTTTTTCTCATTAGATTTCTGAGAGGCCTGTCAGCCATACAGACATACAGTGAGAACAGCTTCATAAGATTTGTGGTCCTCAATATCCGCATACACACTTTATGTAATGGAAATGTATGCTCGTTATTGACATGCGCACATTTTCATTTCAAAACAGAAACTGATTGTAGAAACAGTTGCATTGTACAATCTATAGCAAGAATCCTATTATTTTAACTTGACAAGTTTTCTCTTTGATATAGTATTATTTTGATGCCCAGATGAAGATATTATTATTTGATAATGAATAATAGCCATAATTGATCTTAGAGATCAAAATTCAAATGTGAAGAACTGGCTCCCTTTCAATTCATGAATTTGTATTGAATTTGTAAATTTAACACATCCATCTATCTATCTATCTATCTATCTATCTATCTATCTATCTATCTATCTATCTATCTATCTATCTATCTGTCTGTCTGTCTGTCTGTCTGTCTGTCTGTCTGTCTGTCTGTCTGTCTGTCTGTCTGTCTGTCTATACAGTATGTCTGTTTGTTCACTCATTTGTTATCTTGCTCGTCCTAACATTTGTTTTATCTATCTATCTTCTGTCCATCTACAACTTTCTGTTGTCTATTTTGTGTTTGTTCTGTCTATCTGTTGCTTGTTCTGTTGTCCATTTTGTCGTTCTTTTGTTCATTCTATTTATCGAGCTATCGTTTGTTCTGTCTATTGAGCTATTGTTCTATCATAATATAGTTGTCATTATATTTATCGTTTAATTAGTTGTCTGTCTATCTGTCTATCTATCTATCTGTCTATGCATAAAATTGTAACGCTTTTAACTATTTTCAAATCACAAGACTCAAACATGACTAACAATGCCATCCAACACACTAACAAACCTTCAGAAAGTGATACGTTAGAATGCTGCAAATGTAATTGTTGTGCTTTTAAGCATCTCTATAAAAGGATGATTACATTAGATTCAGCCCTAACAAAACATTAGAAAAACTAATGCAAAATCTTTGTCACAATAAGCACACACACAGCATTTTGGTGTGCGCTTGTGTCACTTTCCTGACAGCATAGCTGAGTGCTGTCATAAACAGCTGTTAAATTCGCTGATATTTTCCCATTTGTCAGATTGCATTCAAGAAAAACAATAAAGTTGAGATTTTAATGAATGACTTGTTTTCTAGTTTTGATGACCTTCAGCCGTTCATCTTGTTATATGTCACCTTTTTCTTCATTCTCCTTGACATCAATGACGAGATGAGTCAAGGTTTCCACACACATACACACACACGCACAGGGGGATCCATCCGTCCAGCCAATTAGTGGCGTTTACATGATGACGAGCTTGTGTTTGATTCAGCCAAATAAAATCAGCATCAAACTGAAGTGATGGAGCATGATGAACACTGGCAATCGGTTACACTATGTAGTGTACACACACATGTGTGCGAGTGAGGTGCGCTTGCCAAAGACAGAATCATTCTCACTTTTCTCTGCCACGCAATCACAGCTCCAGCCTGCCAACTCGCCATGGCTGGGCTCCTGTGACCCTGGCATGGGCAGCCCCTCTCCTCATCATTACTGCCAAATTAAAAGCCATAGCCTCCAGCTCATCTGTCTCCCTGCTGCCGACTCTTATCACGAGCTCGGCCGCTCCCAAGCAGTTACGGATGCCTTGGAACTCACCCCAAACCAATTATAATCAAAAGATGATTTTAAAATGTACTAGTCTTTGATTGTAATGAGAGAGTTCTACATTTTCTTCTCAGATTAGCTGTCATGAGTGATTCTTACTTTGAGACAAATTACCGAGGGGAGTTTAGGCACAGGAACAGGGGAGAGAAGAACCTGAAGAAGGGAAATGTAATTCCCTCATAGCTTCTCTCATTAAAGCGTAATGCTGTTTGCAAGGGAGCATGAAAGATTAGGCAGTTACATGTGGGAAGTTGCAGAGGCTGATTCGGTTCAAGAAGATCTTCACTCAAGCATCCTCATGACCTGCTCTAAGGTAAAGAAATGGGTTTCAAGGCACACTCAAAGGCAGGTCAGTTCATTCAGCATCCATCTTGGTAACATCTCAAAATCAATTCCAGTCATGCTAATATTGCTCATATATTGAATAGAGAAAGATGTTTGTTGTCTCTGACACATGACACCAGGGCTGAACATTTACGAATTTTGTTTTTGTTTTTGTTTTGTTTTGTTTTGTTTTGTTTTGTTTTGTTTTGTTTTGTTTTGGTTTGGTTTGGGTTAGGTAAAGAAATGGGTTTCAAGGCACACTCAAAGGCAGGTCAGTTCATTCAGCATCCATCTTGGTAACATCTCAAAATCAATTCCAGTCATGCTAATATTGCTCATATATTGAATAGAGAAAGATTTTTGTTGTCTCTGACACATGACACCAGGGCTGAACATTTACGAATTTTGTTTTTGTTTTTGTTTTTGTTTTGTTTTGTTTTGTTTTGTTTTGGTTTGGTTTGGTTTGGTTTGGGTTGGGTTGGGTTGGGTTGGGTTTGGTTTGGTTATTTTATGGGCACTACTTATTTATTTGTTAATTTGTTCGTTTAACTTTTTTATTTAATCAGATTTTTTAAAGTTTATTTATTATTTTAATTACTGAAACCTTGTTTTTATTAAATTTTTGTTTGTTTGTTCGTTCAACTTTATGTTGAATGTTACTTTATTATTGGCACCATTTATTTATTTACTTACGTACTACATAAGTTCTGTAAGTATATAAACCTCTTTAGTTCACGATGGAAATTGCTTGTCATATACGATGGGCTTGAGTTTAGTCTCATATTCAATCTCCCATCGCAGACGCAAAGTCAAACATGGATTGCATGAAAAGGTGAACTTGTACAACTGAAATGTGAAACAGCTATTATTTAATTAAATTAAATTAAATGCATTTAGGAGACATGCTTCAGGGGTCTTTTAATGCATAAACTGCAACTGCATTCAGTTGACAAATGACTGTGAGGGGGGCTGTTGTTTTGCAGTGATGTTTAAAATGTTGCTAAGCCTCTAGGAGCTTTTATACTGGGTGTGTTGCACTATATTGCTGCAGGCGAAGGCAGACGGTTTCAGAATCGTACCCACGGAGACCCAGAACACCAGTGGGTATTTTTAGACATTCCAACGTGCCCTCGGAGACTAACTCACAGATGTGCTAGTGCACTCAACACACACACACACACTCATACACATGCAAAGACTAACTTTTATCAGGGCATACACTTCCTCAAACTCTCATTTGAAGACTTTTATTCATGTTTTAGGTGGCATACTCATTCAAACGTGTTCAGACACAATTAATGCTATAAATATGGACGGAAAAACATTGATTGATGTCACAGCTGAGCCTAATATATGAAGGGAACTTCATCTCTTCAGCAGCTTGGAAATAATCATAATCTATTCCCCACTCTCATACAGTCCTGAACGGCAATTTTATGGCTGGTTTATAAAAATATAAATTTTTATAGGTGATGTTTTTATCTTTTTTTTATGTGTTGCAGACATTGTGGCTACATTAAAGCGAAGCAAGATCCAGATGAAGAAAAAATGCAGTTTCAGAATGGGAGAGGTACGATGGCCAAAATAGCACACACAAACACACACACAACACTCATACATAATGGATTGTCAAAACAAACGGTTGGTTTTAGAGGTAACATAAATGTAAAAGGTCTCTCTTCCAGTCTCGGCTGTGAGAGTGCGATATAAATCAAAAACCCTCATGCTCAACCTCACCATAGAGTTTATCTTTTCCAACTTTTTTAGGAGGCTGTTTGGGTTTATGGTGCAGTCGTGTCTTGGCATTCATTCGGACTGAAAATCCCTGTGTGAAAATCATATGTGGTATTTATTTATTTTTTTCTTACTGCAGTGAAACTTCCAGGAAGCAGGACGTATATTCACCCCCACACTTACGAGGACCCAAATCAAGCCATCCGAGATTTTGCCAAGGAAATTGATGCCTCCACTATACGTATAGAGAGAGTTATAGGTGCAGGTGAGAGTCTTATTCTTCAAATTGTGGAAATAAAATGAAAATAAAACAATATTGAATTTCAAATATACATTATGCAAATCGTGTCAGTGTAGCTCCTTAAATATTGAGGTGTGTTCACTTCATAAAACATTCAATGTTTTCAGTGTGTAAGCGTAGTTGTGTGCTAATGTATGTCAAAGAACTGAGGTTTCTATTTGAGCCCTAATTATAGAACGTCTGCCAACCGTAATCCTCACACACAAAGCTGTTGTTTGAAATACTGAGCTGTTAATACCGCATATCTCTGCGTCTGAACTTGGCTTTGAAATCTCATTTTCCTCAGCGTATGCTTTCTCTGTCCGTGAGTGACTGTTTCTCCATTTTTCAGACTTTTTTGTGTTTTATCCTGGTTCTTTATTTCTCTCTATCATTTCCAATTTCTCTTCATCTGGCTGCAATAGTGTGCAATAGAGTTCTTTAGGGCTTTAGGAGTTCTGAATTAAACAATGCCATGGAGAAATATTCTTAGATTCTTTGTGTGAGAACAGGACACGCATTTAACCCAAACATATTTGACTGAGATGTTATCCACCATATAACAGAGCTTTCCCAAAACAATATATATACAGTATATGCCAAGTTTTCTACAAAGCTGTTCTAGATTTATGTTTCTCGTGTCACTCTACGGTCCCTTTCTTCTCACGTAATAACATTTCAACAAATATCTTGTTTCTCAGAAGAAAAAAATCCTTAAATTGTGTACTTGTATAAATTACTTTCTTGCACCATTGGCAAAATGCTTTTTTTATATAATGAACCTCACTAAATTGTGTATTTATGATTTTAAAAAACAAGTCAAATGTGGTCAGAAAAATTAAAAATAAAATATATTCTCTGCTGTCTTAATGAGTTGTAATATCTTATGCAGAAAATATATCTATTTTAAATAATGTTTATATATTTGGTCACACTTTATTTCAATGCCCAATTCTCCCTATTAACAAACCATTAATTCTGACTTTTGCCTCAATAAATACCTAATTTGCTTCTTATTAACCGTTAGTTAGGTAGTTGTTAAATGTAGGTATTGTGTAGGATTAGGGATGTAGAATATGGCCATGCATAATATGTGCTTTATAAGTACTAATAAACAGTCAATATATTAATAATAGGCATGCTAATAAGCAACTAGTTAATAATGAGAATTGGTCCCTGTACTAAAGTGTTACCATATATTTTCACTGGAAAACAAGACAGTGAACACAGTCACAGTGTCCAGTCAAGTGAATTTTGTTTACGCGTATTTTCCTTCATAAATCCACCATAGTCTGATGCTGATGATAGTCATGTGCTTCTTTCCAGGTGAGTTTGGTGAGGTTTGCAGTGGCCGTCTGAAGCTCCCCAGCAAGAGAGAAATCTACGTGGCCATCAAAAGTCTGAAAGCTGGATACTCAGAGAAGCAGAGGCGGGACTTCCTGAGCGAGGCCAGCATCATGGGCCAATTTGACCACCCCAACATCATCAGACTGGAGGGAGTCGTTACCAGATGTAAGTGACTGACATGTACTGTCGTCTTCACCTTCACCCAATGGCTTTTAAATGGCGTAAGTAAAGTAAAGTAAGTAAACATACACTGCATTGTAAGCACTGAGGGAAAAATAAGCTGTTCTCAAAAGTGCTTTCAGAAATCATTTTGCGGGAATTCAATTGCACCGAGTTCTTGGCTCTGTACAATTTTTATACAGCGTGTTTGAATAGCACAAGTGTGACAATATATGATTATTGTGACTACACCAACAAACCTTTTCCGCCACAGCGGTCACAAAGTGTTTTCATGGCATTGTTATTAAGAGCCAGATGGAGGTGTGCTGTACTCACTGACGTGCTCAGCCTTGGGGAGGACAGAAACAGAGCTTGACTGTTCCACCTGAATGGCTCTGTTGAATTGGATTCGTCCACACAAGAGGGTTGGAAGACAAAGACTCGCTACAGCAGATGTATTGCAGAGCAAACCTTTAAACGTGACTAGACATATTAGCTCTAGAATTAACTTTTCATTTGAAAATGTTCAATTGGCTACTTGGGAACTTTTGATTAGGAAATGTTATGCAAAAGTAAACCTAAGTACAGTATTAAATGACTATTAATGGAAAAAATCATAAAAATCAATTTGTGATAAACAGTAATAAACAGCAGAAGACTGTGGAAAAACACTTTTGAATAAAGACTCAGATGAGTTGGTAAATCAAGTTTTAACTGGTTCTTTGAATAAACAGAATGAATCTAACTTCCCAGTGTTATCCTTCAGGGCTAATTTTAGTGATGTACACAAAGAAGCCTTTGTAAATGTAGTTTTTATTTTGTTTTTCTTTTTTACGCTTGTGGCCTCAGCGATCAACGAATCCAAAACAGAGCTCCAATCAACAGTGCTTTATCTGAATAATGTTCCAAACCCTCCCTCTCACTGTGATTGCTTCCATTGTTATGTAGATGGTGGGTCTGGTGCGACTAAAAGAAAGCTTTGGAAATAGCCCTTTTAATAGCTATCTCGTCATTTGTCAGAAAAGTTCTGATCTCTCTGTATCTCTCATTTCCTCCTTTATGTGCCAACAATCGCCTAATCTGGAACCATTCAATTTGGAGGAGGCTATCATCTCCTATCATCGTGCTCTTTCCACCGCGAAGGATTTTCCTCTTAACGAAGTGGCTGCTATTTCGAGAAAGCATTCATTAAAACCACCGCTCCTTTGTTTAGGGGACAATGAAAGTTTAAAGTCTTGTGGAGACTCTTGTGTTAAATTACGCTAACTCTTGTGGTAGATTTAGGGTTGCGATGCAGGGAACAGCGGGGACTTGGAAAGCAGCTCAGTGCTAAGTACATCATGTGTCATTTAGTTAAAACACCATTTGGAAAATCAATAAGATTGTAAAGTTGAAAAACAGCTCCTTTTGTTCTTATGTTCATAATCGTGCCCAAAGTGGGCCATCAGGACATCAACCTGGTCAATTTCTCTTTTATCCTATAAGTTAGTTCATTGTATGTCAATGCAGAGTATATGGAGATATGAGTTCTTCTGTTACCAAGCTGCCGAAATAAACCACTTTAATGCAGGGTGTAAAATCAATACTCTATTTGCAATAGGGGTTCTCGCTCTATGGATGAGCCAGCAGTGAGAATGGGCCTGATTTGAGCTTGTTAAGGGGTGTCACTGATGGGGTCCTGATGGGACGACTACAGGCCAAATGTAAAGCCTCTGGTGTGCCGCTTTACACACAAACATATGTTTACACACACACACACACTCAAGCTGGTGTGCCTCCCTCCCAATACGCAATTACACAATCCGCCTTGTATCTGATGTCACAAAGCATTTTTTATCATGTACATGCTCTCTAAATGTCAAATCACCTGTAACAAAGGTCTGTTTCCTTTAGTGATTATTCTACAATACCGGTTAGAAGTAAATCACAGGGGTGTTGCATTACACAGATGAGGCGTTATGTGATATTGATTACTTGAGTTTGTTGCAGGTATTCATTTTTTCCCCGATCGTGCCATACAAACACGTAGGTCAGAGGGACTCTGTTGGGAATAGATTAATCCAGCGATTTTCCCTGGTAAGTATGTATAGAGTTCAAGAGATTCTGTGCGAAATGCCTCTGACAGCAGCGTGCTGTGACAGCTTTATTTAAGTGGATATGGTTTTTAAGTCTCTGTCCTAGATATTACCAATACAAGCAGACCTGGATCCATGCTTCCATTTTCACCACAGACAATGACAGCTTAATTTTTATTTCTGTACTTTTATAGTCACATTTACATTTTACAATTATCAGACACACTTATGCTGAGCAAAAACAGTACAATGACATAAACGATTCATATTTTTACTGTGTGTGTGTGCTCACGATGGAGGTGTGTTTTTAGATGTTTCTTGAAAGTAGCAAAGGATCAGAGCTGGGAAAATCATTCTATCAAGCTTTGAGGAAATTGTTTTGTGTATGCATTTCTATTTATTTTTATATTATTATATTTATTTAAAAAATGTTGGGTGGGTAAGATTTTTTTTATGTTTTTGAAAGGTCAAAGAAGTCATCCACCAAGGTTGCATTTATTTGATCAAAAGTGCAGTAAAAGAAAACAGTGATATTATGAAATATTATTACAATTTATTCATTTTTATTTTCTATTTTAATAATTTAAAAATGTATCTCATTCCTGTAATGGCAAAACCATATTTTCAGCTGCAATTTTCCAGTCTTAAATATCACAGAATCAATCAGAAATCATTCTAATATTCTGATTTGGTTTTCAAGAATCATTTCTTCTTATTATCAATATTGAAAACAGTTGTGCCGCTTAATTATATTGTGGCAACTGTGATACATTTTTCAGGATTCTTTGATTAATAGAAAGTTCATAAAAAATATAGCATTTATTGGAAAGATTGTTTTTTCTTTTGTAAATATGTATTAGTCTTTACTGTACTTTTGAATTTAAATGAATTTAATGAATTCATTAATGCATCCAAACTGATTTCTGGAGTGAAATAAGGAAAACTTTTTATAAGCTCGTTTATAACCCATAGCAGCATCATATGATATATCACTGTAAGAAAAAAAATCCATAGAGAAGTTTACAGACATTTCCTGTAAATCTAAAACACAGGGAAAGCACTTACAAAAAATAAGGACAATTCCTTCATATTAAGAGAACATTGTGTCAGACAGTTGCACTGTCTTCTGAAGAATGATTTGTAAACCTGCCTGCCTGAACCATATTTAGTGTCACCCTCAGGGTTTCTTGATCTTCACAGTATGTAAATCTATAACCTATCCTTCTGTTAAAGCTCTGTACCTGAGGCCACACTTAATAAGCCACCAGTGACATTAACTGCTAGTTCACTCCCGCATACACAGAGCTCATCGTAGACTGCTGCTATTCCAGCCATGCAGGTTTCATAAAGGGTTAAACCTATTCTTCTCTTTGTAGAAACAAAGCAAAAAGAGAAACCAGGTCTTGAGGGTGAAATCACAGAGATATGCCTGCCCTCTGTTCATAAGACATGTGATGCTAATGCAGGAAGCCCTCAATGAGCTCCATTGTGTGCTTTGAGATAGCGAACACCGTCTGCAACGGATGAAGCTGCTTGTGTGTGCTTGTGGTTGTGCCGTAACCTTTTTATATCTCGTCAGGAAAAGCTGGCATGTCAGATGTCCAGATGATCACTTGATAACACATGAATTAGAGGAGAAATTAAAAAATCCCCTCAAGGTTGCCAGAGATTAATGTCAAGAGCGAACCTTTCAGAGTTGTTTTCCGAAGAGCTCATTATAAGGAGGGTTTTATTAGTTAACCGCCTGCTGTAATCGTGGCTAATGGTTGTTTTAACACTTAAACCCACGTATAAAATCAACACTAGATTACCTTTCAAAAAGATTTACCAGAGCAGTTTACCAGGCAAAGTTTAGTCAAGCGTTTAAGGTCTTTGCACACTGAGTCCGAAATTTTCATATGCGTTTTTTCGTTGGTTTTGTATTTGTCATCCTTTTCTATCAAAATACTTGCTACGGATGCGAAAACACAGAAAATTGAACCTGACCAGAATTTTTTTTTTTAATGAAGGACGAAAGTTTCGGAGGCAGTGTGTAAACATGATTAACACAACGCGAGGTCGTATTTATTTTTTAACGTGCAGAAATTTCGGACGAGATTTTTCAGACTCAGTATGCAAAGACCTTTAGTATGAAATTAATTTTCTTTGTAAATTTCAGCTTTTGAAATCAGCTTTGTAAATTTCAGCTTTTGAAACCAGTTCTGTTCTGGAGGACTCCCACATTAAAGCATATTGTATTTTATTTAATTTTTTCAAATAACATGTTGGATGAAAAAACTAATTTGAAAAAATTTAAATTAACTTTCAAACTTTCAACGAAAATCAGACATTCCATTAAATACTAATACATTTTGATTCATCCTGTAAAATACTAACTGAAATAAATATGTTTAAGCTGAAGTACTAAAAATACGTGATGCCGTTAAATCCTCACAGTGTTGAACTGCACGTCCAGCTCGTGTTTTCTCTCTCTGGGCTCGACTCTGAGGTCAGGGCCCCGGGAGGCTTCTCTGATCAGATCCACTGCCTCGGTCACCCGCTCTTTCAGGATCAATGCCAGTCTCCGCTTCAACTTACTTTCTGATAAAGCAGTCACACACACACACATAGTGACATCAGATGGCCACCCATTGCCGTTCCATTCCCTGAACACAGTACGCTGCAGCCCATTCCCTCTCTTTCTCTTTCAACGACTGACAGCTACATTAGTCTGCCTCTGAAAAATAAACGGAATTGCATTTTTTCCCCCTCTTTTTTCAGATGAGACATGGGAGTTTAGGTTTGGGGGTGTCGTGGAAGGCATTTATCTTGGTGAGATAGTGATTTAATTTTAGGTGATGTATAACCAGTCTGTTGCTGCGGTGATGCTCGGAGGGGGGTGATCAAACCTGTTTTTCACAAACTCATAGAGACATATATATTTATATACAC